GCAGTGGGGCCGAACCGTCTAGCCTGACCACTGTGCATGACAACAAGGGATGGGGCCCAGGGAGATGGCTCAGTGGAGTAAGTGCTTCCCTGGCAAGCGCAAGGGCATGAGTTCAAACCCCGGTTCCACAAAAAAATAAATAAAAACGCATGATGATAACAAGGGTCAGGGCAACATCTCACTCTGCTTTCACCCTCCCTAAGGTGCCCTGGGATGATCTCCGCTACCTTTTTGGTGAAATCATGTATGGCGGCCACATCACAGATGACTGGGACCGCCGGCTGTGCAGGACCTACCTGGCAGAGTACATCCGGACGGAGATGCTAGAGGGAGAGGTGCTGCTGGCCCCTGGCTTCCAGATTCCCCCCAACCTGGACTACAAGGTGAGGTCTAGCGCTCAAGCTCAGGGAGAAAGGAGGTACAGTGAACGTGAGTTCGCCAAGCATCACTGCCATCCAGGCTGGCTCCAGGGAGAGCCTTACAACGTGACAGGAGTATCGATAATTGAGCAAGAAGCCAGGCAACCAAAATCAGGAATGGAAATTTCCTTTATGAAGCTGGGGAGCACAGGGGGCAGCCTAGGAAGGGCCAGGGAACACATGGGATTTGCACAGAAGGCAAAACGTGGGTGGAACATTCACATAGGAAATGCTTAATAAACACAGGACACAGGTCTCAGCTTGCAGATTTTTTTTGGTAGCCTGCCTGCAAACCGCCCCTCTTTCCAGGGTTACCATGAATACATCGATGAGAATCTGCCCCCTGAGAGCCCCTATCTGTATGGCCTGCACCCCAATGCAGAGATTGGCTTTCTGACGGTCACTTCGGAGAAGCTCTTCCGCACTGTCCTGGAAATGCAGCCCAAAGAGACAGACTCAGGAGCAGGCACAGGAGTATCCCGAGAGGAAAAGGCAGGACCCCCTCACACACTCTCCTCAGCAATGGTGGGGGGAATATGGGCAGGATCATATAGTCAGCACCAGCCACCCTGTCCTTCCCTTGGCCTTGGGAACTGGAAACCGGCAGGGAGGGGAGGAGCTGCAGACTGCTCACCAGGACCCCAGGCAACCCTGGCCTAGACAGAGGCATCTTCAGTGTTTGGGTACAGGCTGTGCTAGCTGCAGTGGGAACCCTGGGACACCAGTGGGAGTGGCTCTCACAGGGCAGCCCA